GCTTGGGCGTTCAAACAAGAAGATGGGGTCTTGGATTCTCTACATTTAATGGATACAGTTTATTGCCAACTTTATTTTAATCATGTTTTCAAATTTGTTAAGGTCATGTATGAGAGAGAGGGAGTGAGATAATAGACTATGTGATGTTTAAATTTTTTAACACTTCACAGTGTAAGTATGACGATTATGAGATGTTTAAGCATGCTAGAGAGACAGAGCAAAAAGATTAGGTGATGATTAAGCGTGGTCAAACTTAATCGTGAAGATTATGTGATGTTTAAGCATGTTCATACCTCATGTTGCTAAGTATGAAGGTAAAGTGATGTTTACTCAAATTGTGTATGTGTGTGAGAGAGAAAATAAATTATGTGACGTATAAGCATGTTAATACGTCGTAGTATTATGTATGAAGATTGGGTGATGTTTAAGCATGTTAATACGTCGTAGTATTAAGTATGAAGATTGGGTGATGTTTAAGCATGTTAATACGTCGTAGTATTAAGTATGAAGATTGGGTGATGTTTAAGCATGTTGGGAGAGAGAGAGAGAGTATCAATTATGTAATCTCTTAAGTTTCTTCTCAATGCCACTGTTTGAAAGAGTAATATATGGTACATGAGATGTTTAAGCAAGTAGATAGATAGATAGAGAGAGAGAGAATAGATTAGGTGATGTTTAAGATGTTAATATTTCATGGTATTATTCTTGGTAAAAAATAATAATATTTATGGTATTAATATGATGATTAAGTGAAATTTAAGCATGCATATATATATAGAGAGAGAGAGGGAGTCTTAGACCTAGTCAGAGTTAATTGCAATCCCTAAAAATACCTACACTGAGAGGAGAGGTGCACATGAATGAGAGAGAGAGCATGACAAAGAGGGAAAAGGGTAGAGAGAGAAAGCATGACAAAGAGGGAAAAGGGTAGAGAGAGAGTTTGAGGGGAAGAGAGAGAGCATGACAGAGGAAAAAGGGAAGAGAGAGAGAGCATGACATAGAGGCAAAAGGGCAGAGAGAGAGAGAGAGCATGACAAAGAGGAAAAAGGGTAGAGAGAGAGAGAGTATGAGGGGAAGAGAGAGAAAGAGAGGGAGAGCACATGAGAAAGAGTAAGGGTGCGAGAACCCTAGTCAGACATTGATTAAAAAAAGGAGACGCAAAGAAATTGAATAAGAAGCAAACCCTAATCCCCCAACTCGTAAGGGGAGCCACCCCACGACACTTTCTCTCTCCTCCCAATACACCGTCCTCGATAACCCAATCCACCTTAGCTGTTAACCCTACTAAAATAAACCCTAATTTTCCTCTATTCCCGCGCTATTTCTATTTCAAAACATGGCCCTTCTTCTTTCCCCATGCAACCTGCCCCCCCCTTACTTTCACACCCCCCCATGCCCTACTGTCTCTCTCTCTCTCTCTATCTAAACCTCACCGGTTTAGAGAGAGAAAGAGGGTGGGCGATTCATCGCCGATTATTCGACGTGGGATGGCACACGTGGGTCCCAAGTTTCCGAAAAATGGGATTTAGTGATCCCGAAATCGCACGAAATTTCAGGAAGTTTGCCGAAATCTGGGACTGAAGTACATTTTCTGGTCGAAAGCTCTCAAAAATCAAAATGGTGCAAGTTCAAATGCCATTGCTACCTTCTAAGTGATTTTGAAAGAATTTTTCGAAGATTTATTTTCGGGTTAGTTGATTTTGGAAGTGTGGTTTTTTACCTTTTACTTTCCTCTTATGTCTTTCAATATTTTATTGAATTGTAGGTCTTAGACTCTTTTAAGTGTTTCGAATATTTGAAGTAGGCTCTAAATCGGCAGGTTTAGTCTGACTCCCGAGTCAGATAAGGCTATAATTAGTATAGGAATGAAGTAAGATAAAAATGAGAAAAATGGCTAGCTTTTCAATTGAGGGCACTTTGGAATTAAGACAATTTGGTGCCCTTTTAAATCGAAACCTGCTAGCTTTTGATTTCAAGACAAGCAATTCTGACTTGGCTCAATGATTTTAAAAAAATCACGGTTAGTATTATTCATTACTTTTAACAAATGTTTCAAAATTCGTCGGTCTTGATCGGGTCTTGATCGGGAATCACCGATCCAAACCATGAATCAATGGGGACTGCCTTAGTTCTTAGTCAGAATTAATAACCGTTCTGATTCCCATAGGCTTGCTCGGTTCTATCAGAGAACAAAATGAGCCTATTACAGGCGCTCTAGGTTGCCCAAAACACTTTGTTCTCGCCCATTTTATTTTATTTTTTATTAATTTCTATTTCTTATTTTTTCAATTTTTTTGAGACCTCGCATAGTAGATTTACACTAACTTGCCAATCCGGACCCATTTTCCAAGAGGCAACTATACCTTTCAGGATTGAAGCATTGTTTCTAACAACTAGAAAATGCACAAATAACTATAGGAAGTAATAGGAAATGAGTGGAAAGCAAAGCATCAAGAAAAATGAAAGCCATCATCGTCATAATCTTTTCCCAACTAATTGAGGTCGACTACACAAGTTATGGTCTGCCATTCTATTTTATTAAAGGTTATACTTTCAGTGAGGCCATAAGTCTCCATGTATTTTCACTACTTCCTATCATGTTCTTCTGAGTCTACCTTTTTCTCTGGCCTTCCACTTGAACGAACTCGCACATCTCAACAGGTTGTACTGATTCTATACAACACATGATCAGCCCACCTAAGTGTATTGTCTCTCATCTTATTTTCTATTTGTGTTACACCTAAAATTTTCGAATGTATTCATTTCAAATTGTACCCCTTCGTATCATGCTACTCATCCATCTCAACATTCTCAGCTCTACTACACTCATTCTATAAGTATATTGTTTTTTGACCGCCCAACATTCCTTCCCAAGAGCAAAGCTAGTCTCACAACTGCCTTGTAGAATTTTCCCTTCAGTTTTATTAGTACGGGGCGATGACATAAACTTTTGTTTGCACATCTACACTTCACCCGTCCAACTCTAATTCTATGTGTGATATCTTTTCCAATCTCTTTATTTTTATGGATTATCGACCTAAGATCTCGCTGTCAATCTTAACTACTTTATTATCTTTACTCCTATCATAATAAACTTGCATTCCATATACTATGTTTTTATCCGGTTATTTTTAAAACCTTTAGATTTTAGAACATATTCTAAAGTTCTAACTTTATTATGACATCGTTTCAGGTCTCATCAATCAAAATTATGTCATTTATGTACAACATTATAAAATTAAAGAAAAAAATGTGTTATTAGAAAAGATATATCTATTTTTGAAATAATATTAAGCTATTGGACAATTAATTTAATTTTTCCTTAACGATTCTCCAATCTCATATCTAGGGGTGGCAATAGGCCGGGTCGCCCGCCCTGAACCAATGTCAAAAAAGTAGGGTTTGTTTCTTTATTGTTTTTTGTGTTGTTTTCCTTTAATTTTACTTACCCCGATCAGGTTGGACGAGAGCCCCTTTGACCTAGCATGGGCTAGGCCAACCCGCAGAGAAACAAGGCCGAGCTAGGGCCAAGGCTGCCTGGGCCCAAACCCGGCCCCTTTCCAGCCCTAGATGCGTCTGAGTTTAGTTTCGGCAGTGTGAATGTAAGATCTCAAGCATCGATTGAATCTTAACCATTAAATCCAGCCCTAATCGTGTCTAGTTTAGTTTGGGCAGTGCGACGATAAGATCTCGATCATCAATTGAATCTTATCCATTAAATCAACAGTTTGGATCCTTCTGTTCTTCACGTTACACGAATCTGGACCGTCCCTCCTCCAAGAGAATAGAAAACTCGTATCTCTAATTCTCTACTCTATAAGGTGGCGAGGGGCATTTATGAAAATTACTTCTACATGCCGATTTATTACGATTTTCTCCTTCTCTCCCGATTAATTCCCGATTTATTGACCTGCAGCATGCCCATTCTTCCCTTGATATCATCATGACACTGAAACCCATTATCTCCCCCACCTCTCTCTAGTCCACAGACACATTATTTCCTCAACTCCTCTCTCTAAACCTTCAACCAATTATATCTCACTACTCTCTCTCTCTCTCATCTCAGTTCTCTCTTTGCATTGATGCATTTGCATTGGCATCAATGCAATGAGTTATGAATTGTGAACATTCATAGCTCTTATGGAGCATCTTTAATGGTGGGGTTCCTATTCTATGTTCCTAAATTATCAGTGTTCATCATTGATATCAGTCTCTCTCTTACTTAAAACCCCTTTCAATCTCTACCATGCAACAACCCACATTCTCTTTTTTCTGGTAATTAGGCAAACAGACACATAAGTTTTCTCTCATCTCTCTCTACAACGGTCCTCTTCACCTCTTTGCTTTGCATCAGTTTTTGGCTGCTTGAGTTTATCAGTCAGGAAACCCTAATGACTCCCCTCTTTCCTTACTTCTTGTAGGTCCTAGCAGTAAGTCTTCTTAGTCCTCTCTCTCTCTC